GCCCTAGTAAGGTAATTTATAAAATTAACAGCTTCGATATCAGCGAAAGTACTATTACTCAATTCGAATTTGTCTTTATTTTCGTAGGTGAAACTGGCTTCATTAAGAAAATACCGCTACCCTATTATCGATGTTGAATATGCTTCTGCTATTCTGCTTCTGCGGTTAATTATTAAGAATATTTGTTTTGATAAAGAGGAAACCACAGAAACGGTGCCTTTGGAGAGATCGCTTAATCGAATTGTAGCAGAAGATATTCATGCTGAAGAATCGATTCCTTCATTTGCAACTTCGATTATAGATGGTTACGCTGTTAAAAAGAGCGATGGCAAAGGAATACGTGTTGTAAAGAATGTCACAACTGCAGAAGATAAGGTATGTAGATACATTTACAAGATTTCTAAAGAATGAGCTCATTAGAATTGTAATAAATGGAGTTTCTAATGTTGCAGTCAATCGATAAGGTTCTGCAGTCAGGCGAAGCGAAAACAATATCGATGGGAGATCCAATTCCTGCGGAAGCAGACGCAGTGGTACCATTGGAAGATACATCAGTTGTTGAATATTCGATTGATGGTTCTGAAGTAATTAAGGTTGAAATCAAAAGAGCACCCAACTATAATGAAAACATAAGGTGAGGGAACATTTTTAATACAATTGTGGCATATTTAGTAATTTTTTTAGAATAATCGGAAGCGACGTATCGAAGAATTCTTTGGTTTTAAAAAAAGGCGAACGTATCAAACATTTCTCTCTTGGAGTTTTAGCCATGTTAGGAAAAACAAATATTTTGGTTTATAAGTAAGTTGAAATATTCAGTTTCCTAAAAGTTCCCTCCTTTACTGTAATACATTTTTTTCTAGACGCCCTTCTATAGGAGTCATATCAATTGGCAATTATATTTGTGAACCTAAAGAAAAACTAGCCCCTGGCAAAATCAGAGATGCAAATAGATTCACCTTAATTAATTTGCTTAAAAATTACCGTTATAAATCAAACGATTGTGGTATAGCTAAAGACAAGTAATAATTAATCCTGATGTATTTGATCCTTTTTTAATACAATAATTTTTAGTCCTGATGCAATAAAGCAAGCTCTTGAACAAAGTTTTACTCGTAACGATGTTATTATAACGAACAGTTCAATGGGAGAAGTGGACATGTTGAAACGGGTCCTCGTTGAGGATTTTCAAGCTACTATACATTTTTCCAGAGTAAACATGAAACCCGGGTAAGTCAAAGTTTCGTAATTTGAAAGATTTCAATGATTCAATGATTATCATTGTATTATAGAAAATACACGACCTTTGCGACACTTATGTATAATGAAACATGGAAAATGGTGTTTGGCATAACGGGTAATCCATTTTCCTGTGCAATTACTTGTGTATTATTCGTTATTCCTGCTCTACGCTTAATGGAAAAATCTCTCTACGAACGTTTTGTACCTATTTCTGTGCCACCAAATTCATTTAATATAGTAAGTAAAAATTTTGTTAACAGTGAAATAATTATATTCGAAATACGTTTTGTTTAAAATAACTAAGCTCCACTTTTTCTTAAAAACTTTATTTCTTTAATACAATCCGTTCGCTATCAGGAGATACTAATAAAACCTAAATTTGCAAATAATATGAAAAGTAGGTAATTAATATGGAAAATACATCAGGAGCGATTTAATGAAAAAAAATCATAAAATTCCAAAACGTTACAGCTTTTAACATTGTATAATAGTTATGTTTATTTTACTTTATTAGTTCTCTCAGTATACAGGGTATTACCTGTTACTAGGTTGTATTTATTTGTTAGTGCCCCTATAATTTACTGTTTTATTATTTTTTTACTATTTCTTGATAGAAAACAGAGTATAAAATATAATATTACAATAAATTTCATTTTTTAGCGTTCGTTACCATATAATAATGATGATTGTCTAGAGTATCGACTAGTTAAAGTAAATAGGACTTTGACAACTGCAAAGGAAGTACCAAGCGTATTAAGTAATTTAGATAAAGCAAACGGTTTACTTATAATTGAGCCAAATAAAGATTACTCAATTAAAGATTCAAAAGGAGACTATCGCAATCTTTACAATGTAATATTATTTAATGAGAATTAATATCAGTGAAATGGGCTGTATTATTAAATACAATTTCTGTTTTTTTTTAATTCATTTAAAATAATACCAATTAATACGTTCTTTTGATCAGTTAACAGTTCTTTTAATTTTTTCAGTTTCAGTTTATAATAAAATATTTAATTAGTATTTTTGCTTTATTTAACCCTTATTGAAAGATTGTTTGTTGTGTTCTGTGAGTACGAGCCCAGTCGCATATGAATTGGATCAAAACAAATATTCTACACAATATTACTTTCCCGTGTAAACAGTTATTTTATATTAATATCAAATAGTTAGGTAGTATCCGATCAATTAGTAGTAGCAAAATTACTGTTAACTCAAAAAAATAAAATTGTGTAGAATATTTGTTTTGGTGAATATTATATTTTTTACGAGAGTATTATGTTTGTTGTATTATGTTGACTAAGTTCATATAAAAATTGATCCACAAACGCTTCATTACCGATCTACCGAAATTTCAAATTTTATTTTGATATTTATTGAGCTCCTGCAGTTTTGGAGATATTATCCAATTGTTCTTCACAAATCGCTTTTAAACGTCAAGTTGCTCTTCTAAAACCGGTTCTAAATCGCTCTAAAATTGTTTTATAACCGCTCTAATTGCTTGCTCTTCTAAGCCCACCAAAGATTTTGTAGAAGATCCTTTGTCCCCTATAAACATCCCAATTTTGTAAGATTCTCACTTGCTTGGATTAACAATCCTTTTACAATTTAATCATACTATTTCAATTTTTACACAATATGACATCCGTCATATCGTGCTTGTGATAGTGCTTGGAAGTTCTAAAATAGTAATATTTTAATTAATAATTACACTTTTACAACAGACATTTCTCGACAATTAAAAACAGAAAATTGCTTACATTTGCTGATATCAGCATTTCCTGTGCATTCGGAAACTGAACGTACTGGGGAATCAAATTTGCCAACGAATCCACAATGATTTTAAATACTCCATGGGCAGTGCTTCTTGCGAGTCCAAATCTATCTCCTGCAGCTAAGAAACACTGCGGTTTCCGATGGTCCATAGAGAAAATATTTTTTTTATCAAAGTCAATATTGTCCCTATTGTGAGCAATATTGTTTCCCAGCATGTTGCGTAGGTTCTGAAATTTTATTAATGATCAACAGATTTAATATTTTGTGATTGGGAAACATACCTGAAAGGCTCCTCTACTCATTCGAAAATGTTCTTTGAAAAGATCATCTGAGAATTTTGGGACGGTCACTTTAAGGAAATCATCATTCCTAGGTTTCCTTACTCGTGGATGTCCTTCTAGATTATCATTTCCAATTGGTTCATCGAGACCCAATATCAATGCATTTAGAACATCCATATTATCGTCATCGTTATTACCATCGTGCGCCAAGGCTATAATATTTGCAAGAATATTATTTTCACCTTCAGCCATTATTAATATCTCAATTATAGCAGGATAAGGATTAAACAGTATAATAACAAAACATTTTATATTTATTTCACCTTCAACCTTTGATAGATGAGGAAATAGAGGAGGGGGATGAGGAAGAAGGTACTTTGGAGATTGTAAAATGGTAGAAAATGATTTAGGTTTGGGAATAGGAGGTTTGGGAATGGTTTTTTTGGGTCATTTTGTTGAAAATTGTCTATTAGTTTTTTGTAGGCTATTGTGGGTCTATTAGGAAACTTTCTGTTGAATAAATCTATTCCATATCTATTCTAAAAAGTTTTAAATTATTCTAAACAGTTCTTAATGCTTCTGGAGCATTCTAAATTGTTCCAGACGGTTCTAATTCATTCGCTACAGTTCTAAATAATTCTAGACATTTCGAAAAGATTCTGGGTTGTTGTAAATGATTCTAAAAAGTTCTAAATTATTCTAAACAGTTCTTAATCTTTCTGGGGCATTCTAAATTATTCTAGACGGTTCTAAATCATTCTTTATAGTTCTAAATGATTCTAAAGAGTTCTTAATGATTCTGGCGCGAGTAAAAAAGTTTATTACTTATAAAAATTGGTTTTAAAAAATTTAATTCTTCACTAAAGATTATAAAAGTTTCAATGTACTATTTTTATGATAATTATTTTAACTATTTGAAATCCATTCATAACCATTTCTACCTCGAAAAAATACAATCTAAGAACTGATATGAACTGAACAAAAGTGTTCTTACAAAGTTAACAAGAATTTGGTCCAGGACAATTTAGAGTGCTTCTGGATGCATTAAAACTAGTTCAGAACAATTTAGAGTACTTCAGGATCAGAACTATTATTGCATTAGAACTATTTAGAACTTAAATTTAATCGAAATCCATGCATTAATATTTAGAAAAACAAATGTCGCTACAAGTTTAAAAAAATCTATTTGAACTCGAGTGGATGAATAAATATTATTTTGATAATATTCGTTAACTCCCTAGAAGACATTGGCGGCAATGAATAAATATTATTTTAATAAGGTTTATGTGAAATTTCTATTTTTTAATAAGGATGTTAAGAAAATCTTTTATTGATCACCAAACGAAAATATTATAATAAATGTTCGATATATATAGGAACCCTGTCGTTGAATACACTAATAAAACATAAAGAAGATATTTCTTTGCACTCTAAAAAGCATTTTTTCATTTCACAATAAAAAATTATTCTGTCCATCTCTTGTTTGTATCGGTGTTGAGTACACGGAATTTTTAAGATAAAAAAAATATAAAAATTGCATTAGGATAATGCCGATAATCGAATTTTAGTAGAAGATTTCAAGAAGAAGATTTAATACAAGATTTCTAAAGAAAGAACTCATTAGAATTGTAATAAATGAAGTTTGTAATTTTGCAGCCAATCGATTAAGTTCTGCAGTCAGGCGAAGCGATAAGAATATCGATGGGAGAACCAATTCCTGCGGGAGCAGACGCAGTGGTACCATTGGAAGATACTTCAGTTGTTGAATATTCGATTGATGGTTCTGAAGTAATTAAGGTGAAAATCAAAAGAACACCCGACTACAATGAAAACATAAGGTAAGGGAAAATTTTTAAATACAATTGTGGTATATCTAGTATTTTTTTAGAGGAATCGGAAGCGACGTATCGAAGAATTCTTTGGTTTTACAAAAAGGCGAACGTATCAAACATTTCTCTCTTGGAGTTTTAGCCATGTTAGGAAAAACAAATATTTTGGTTTATAAGTAAGTTGAAATATTCAGTTTCCTAAAAGTTCCCTCCTTTACTTTAATACATTTTTTTCTAGACGCCCTTCTATAGGAGTCATATCAATTGGAAATAATATTTGTGAACCTAAAGAAAAACTAGCCCCTGGCAAAATCAGAGATGCAAATAGATTCACCTTAATTAATTTGCTTAAAAATTACCGTTATAAATCAAACGATTGTGGTATAGCTAAAGACAAGTAATAATTAATCCTGATGTATTTGATACTTTTTTAATACAATAATTTTTAGTCCTGATGCAATAAAGCAAGCTCTTGAACAAAGTTTTACTTGTAACGATGTTATTATTATAAGCAGTGCAATGGGAGAATTGGACATGTTGAAACGGGTCCTCGTTGAGGATTTTCAAGCTACTATAAATTTTTGCAGGATAAAGATGAAACCCGGGTAAGTCAAAGTTTCGTAACTTGAAAGATTTCAATGATTAAATAATTATCATTTTGTTATAGAAAATACACGACCTTTGCGACACTTATGTATAATGAAACATGGAAAATGGTGTTTGGCCTAACGGGTTATCCATCTTCCTGTGCAATAATTTGTATAATATTCGTTATTCCTGCTCTACGCTTCATGGAAAAATCTCCTTACGACGGTTTTGTACCTATTTCTGTGCCACCAAATTCATTTAATATAGTAAGTAAAAATTTTGTTAACAGTGAAATAATTATATTCGAAATACGTTTTGTTTAAAATAACTAAGCTCCACTTTTTCTTAAAAACTTTATTTCTTTAATACAATCCGTTCGCTATCAGGAGATACTAATAAAACCTAAATTTGCAAATAATATGAAAAGTAGGTAATTAATATGGAAAATACATCAGGAGCGATTTAATGAAAAAAATCATAAAATTCCAAAACGTTACAGCTTTTAACATTGTATAATAGTTATGTTTATTTTACTTTATTAGTTCTCTCATTATACAGGGTATTACCTGTTACTAGGTTTTATTATTATTTTACTATTTCTTGATAGAAAACAGAGTATAAAATATAATATTACAATAAATTTCATTTTTTAGCGTTCATTGCCATATAATAATGATGATTGTCCAGAGTATCGACTAGTTAAAGTAACTAGAAATTTGACTGGAATGACAACTGCAAAGGAAGTACCAGGCGTATTAAGTAATTTAGATAAAGCAAACGGTTTACTTATAATTGAGCCAAAAAAAAAATACTCAAGTAAAGATTCAAATGGAGACTATCTCTATAGTTACAATGTAATATTATTTCATGAGAATTATTATCAGTGAAATGGGCTGTATTATTAAATCCAATCTCTGTTTTTTTTTTCTAATTTCACTTTAAAATAATACCAATACGTTCTTTTGATCAGTTAACAGTTCTTTTAATTTTTTCAGTTTCAGTTTATAATAAAATATTTAATTAGTATTTTTGCTTTATTTAACCCTTATTGAAAGATTGTTTGTTGTGTTCTGTAAATACGAGCCCAGTCGCATATGAATTGGATCAAAACAAATATTCTACACAATATTATTTTCCCGTGTAAACAGTTTATTTATATTAATATCAAATAGTTAGATAGTATCCGATCAATTAGTAGTAGCAAAATTACTATTAACTCAACAAAAAAAAAATTGTGTAGAATATTTGTTTTGGTGAATATTATATTTTTTACGAGAGTATTATGTTGACTAAGTTCATATAAAAATTGATCCACAAACGCTTCATTACCGATCTACCAAAATTTCAAATTTTATTTTGATATTTTTTGAGCTCCTGCAGTTTTTGAGATATTATCCAATTGTTCTTCACAAATGGCTTTTAAACGTTTTTTAAACTGCTTCAGAATTGCTCTTCTAAAACCGGTTCTAAATCGCTCTAAAATTGTTTTATAACCGCTCTAATTGCTTGCTCTTCTAAGCCCTCCAAAGATTTTGTAGAAGATCCTTTGTCCCCTATAAACATCCCAATTTTGTAAGATTCTCTCTTGCTTGGATTAACAATCCTTTTACAATTCAATCATACTATTTCAATTTTTACACAATATGACATCCGTCATATCGTGCTTGTGATAGTGCTTGGAAGTTCTAAAATAGTAATATTTTAATTAATAATTACACTTTTACAACAGACATTTCTCGACAATTAAAAACAGAAAATTGCTTACATTTGCTGATATCAGCATTTCCTGTGCATTCGGAAACTGAACGTACTGGGGAATCAAATTTGCCAACGAATCCACAATGATTTTAAATACTCCATGGGCAGTGCTTCTTGCGAGTCCAAATCTATCTCCTGCAGCTAAGAAACACTGCGGTTTCCGATGGTCCATAGAGAAAATATTTTTTTTATCAAAGTCAATATTGTCCCTATTGTGAGCAATATTGTTTCCCAGCATGTTGCGTAGGTTCTGAAATTTTATTAATGATCAACAGATTTAATATTTTGTGATTGGGAAACATACCTGAAAGGCTCCTCTAATCATTCGAAAATGTTCTTTGAAAAGATCATCTGAGAATCTTGGGACGGTCACTTTAAAAAAATCATCATTCATAGGTTTCCTTACTCGTGGATGTCCTTCTAGATTATCATTTCCAATTGGTTCATTGAGACCCAATATCAATGCATTTAGAACATCCATATTATCGTCATCGTTATTACCATCGTGCGCCAAGGCTATAATATTTGCAAGAATATTATTTTCACCTTCAGCCATTATTAATATCTCAATTATAGCAGGATAAGGATTAAACAGTATAATAACAAAACATTTTATATTTATTTCACCTTCAACCTTTGATAGATGAGGAAATAGAGGAGGGGGATGAGGAAGAAGGTACTTTGGAGATTGTAAAATGGTAGAAAATGATTTAGGTTTGGGAATAGGAGCTTTGGAAATGGTTTTTTTTTGGTCATTTTGTTGAAAATTATCTATTAGTTTTTTCTAGGGTATTGTGGGTCTATTAGGAAACTTTCTGTTGAATAAATCTATTCCAAATCTATTCTAAAAAGTTCTAAATTATTCTAAACAGTTCTTAATGTTTCTGGAGCATTCTAAATTGTTCCAGACGGTTCTAATTCATTCGCTACAGTTCTAAATAAATATAGACATTTCTAAATGATTCTGGGTTGTTGTGAATGATTCTAAAAAGTTCTAAATTATTCTAAACAGTTCTTAATTTTTCTGGGGCATTATAAATTGTTCTAGGCGGTTCTAAATCATTCTTTACAGTTCTAAATGATTCAAAAGAGTTCTTAATGATTCTGGCGTGAGCAAAAACCTTCACTACTTATAAAAATTGTTTTTAAAAAATTTAATTCTTCACTAAAGACTATAAAAGTTTCAATGTACTATTTTTATGATAATTATTTTAACTATTTGAAATCCATTCATAACCATTTCTACCTCGAAAAAATACAATCTAAGAACTGATATGAACTGAACAAAAGTGTTCTTACAAAGTTAACAAGAATTTGGTCCAGGACAATTTAGAGTGCTTCTGGATGCATTAAAACTAGTTCAGAACAATTTAGAGTACTTCAGGATCAGAACTATTATTGCATTAGAACTATTTAGAACTTAAATTTAATCGAAATCCATGCATTAATATTTAGAAAAACAAATGTCGCTACAAGTTTAAAAAAATCTATTTGAACTCGAGTGGATGAATAAATATTATTTTGATAATATTCGTTAACTCCCTAGAAGACATTGAGGGGGCCTCACCCGCAAAAGAGCACTCCTAAAATCCCTCCTAACCCAACATCAACCCTCTTTCCTATTCCTAATCGACACCCTCACTCGTCTCCCCCTCCACATTCACAGGTTATCAAATTTTCCACACGCCTAAAAACAATTCCTGCCGGGGTAACGCTATCCTAGTGAGACACGGAATCCCGCCTCTCGATAACCTGGACTGCTTAGCCATTGACATCTGACAAACTAATACCATTACCACCGTTATTTCCTTTTACAACCATCCTTCCAATATTCTCCCCTACCTCTATTCTAGTACATTGCCTCCCTTCCCCGCGTTATTCTCCTATGCGATCTAAACTCCCGCCACACCCAGTTCGGTAATACAATTTCCACTACCTAGAAATTCCAAAACCACATAACCCAAAAACCAACCCCCTCTTCAACCCCCCACCACCCCACTCGAAATCGAAACCTTTACCTACATTCCCTATTCTCAGATGCCTCGGATATTTCTACCCCTCTTACCACCCTTAACACCGCCGCCCATTCCATACCCCCTCATATCCTATCCCTTATTCGACAAAAACGTCATATCTATCGCCAATTCGTACGAACCCACGACCCCGTTCTAAAAACCGAGTGGAACCGCCACAACGCCCTGATAAGGGGTTTGGTAAATCAGTTCAAAGAGAAACAGTGTCTCGATCTCACACGTGGACTTGATTGCGGGGACGGTGCTCGGTTTTGGAACAAATTCAAAGTATTAACTGGACAAAAATCCAAGACCCACTCCCATCTCCTCATCAATGGTCAATTTCTCGTCACCAATGAACAGAAAGCAGACGCTTTTAAAACCCACCTCCAAGAAACTTTTTCTACTCAAAACAACCCCAATTTCAATCGAAATTTTTTCACTAAAACCGAAATTTTTGTCCGAAACCTTTTAAACCCTCTACGCCCCAACCCCCCTCCCCTACCTAACAACCCCCTTTCTCCGTTGCCGAAATTTCCGAACGCTGCAAATTCGGAAAAAATTCCGCCCCTGGCCCCGACTCAATATCCCGTCGCTCCCTAAAAAACCACCCCGATTCCATAATACCTAACCACCCTTATCCTGTCTCCCCTTTCACCCCAGGCCTGTCTCAACCTTTTCTACTTCCCCACCCTCTGGAAATCCTCCAACACCATACTTATCCGGAAACCCGGAAAGGACCCCACAACCCCTAATTCCTACAGACCCATCGCCCTCCTAAATGTCCTGTGGAAACTCTTTGAGCGACTGCTTAAGAAGCGTTTCTGGGAATTCCTGGACTCCCAAAACATTATTCCTCCTTTCCAAAACGGTTTTCGACAACATCACAGCTCCCAAAACTCCCTCCTAAATTTCCAAACCCAAATCACCCGCTCCCCTTAATCAAGAGTATGTCGCTTCCGCCATCCTCCTTGACGTCCAAAAAGCTTTCGACCAAGTCTGTCATGCTGGACTTGTTAGAAAACTCTCCCAAATAAATCTCCCCCTCCCCATCATCAAATTACTCCATTCCTACCTCCATAACCCAACTATAAGGGTAAAAGTGGGCAACCACATTACCGACCCCTTTCGCCCCTTCACCGGAGTCCCCCTAGGCTCCATCCTTGCCCCCTCCCTCCTATACCTTATTTACACCTACGACGTTCCCCCTCCTCACTCCCCTAACCCCCACATTACCACCTCCAAAAGAACCGAATCCCTCACACAAAAGGCCCAAAAACAACTCAACCTAATTTCCTCCTGGTGCGAAAAATGGCGAATCTCCTTAAATCTTAATAAAACCCAAACAATCCTTTTTACTCACCCCAATTTAACCCTTAACCGTCACGCAAATCCTAGGTTCTTCCGATTAAGGCTTTCGGGCGATTAGCTAACTGTTAAGACACCCTTAACAGGGTGCCACAGCGAGCCGGTCTCATCAAGGCTTTGAGGGGAAGAATAAGGAAATGCCACCCTAAAACACTCATTCACACCTACAAAACCTTTATTCGCCCTATTTTCGATTATAAATCCATTGTCTATTCCACTCCCTTCCAAACCTCCAAAGTTTCCGAATCCTTACCACCAAACGAAAAACCCTTAGACAAACCCAATACCTACTAAAGCTACTATTAAAACGTATCAAAAATATGATATGTCATTTTTTTGGACGAATGGGACAAAAACCTATAATATCAAACCATTTTTCTTTCGCTCAATATCTGCAGGGAAATAAAAAAATGCTTTTGAAGAGTATTATCTTCATTATCTTGTAATATCTTACAAGTACCAAAATTAATAATCAATTATTCACAAACAATTTACATGGACAACTTGTAAAAACGAATTATTTAAGAAAAAGGCAGAAAAGTAAGTGTTAAGTAAAATTTTTAATATCATCAAACCTATTAGGTTTAGTTATAGGGAAGTAAACATTAACTTCCCCCAATTTTTTACCGCTGATTTTAATAAAACAGAAAAAAATAGGTGATTCCATTTAAAAAAATGAAGAAATTTGTTATTTTTGAAGTTCAACTTTTCACATTTTTTATACACACCCTGTATACAAATAGGAGGTT